TCAGAGAGGGGGTGGGGCGGGGTGGGGCCTGGCAGAGCCCCTAAGGAACCTCCCAGGGCTCTCCCAGCCCCTGCTTGGTGTGCTTGGGGCTGCACCCCCCCCACTGCCCATCACCCCTCCAGTAACCAGCCCTCCCAGAAACCCCTCCCTGCCGCCTTCACATTGCAATAGCCAGGCCGGACTTGGCACACGCTGGGCCACGGGCCTCGGTGTGGGAGCAAGGGCCTCCCCTGGGGAGGGTCAATGGGATATGGGGCACTGACAGGTTGGGGAGAGGCCCTGAAACCCCCTCCCGGGGGCACATTGAACCCCTCTGCAGGCTCAGCCTCGGCCTCTCTCTCTCACTGAACAGGTGGGCCGGGCCGGGGCTCCACTCCCACCATCACGCTAGCCCCAGCCCAGCCTTCCTTTGCTTTCCTCTCTATCCATAGCCTCACAGGCTGCGACCAAGGTCTGTCTGGGATAGCTGGGTACTTACGCCCTCCCGTTACCGTAGTACTCGAGCCCCTCGCAGCATCAAGCGACATTACCCGCCCCACGCCCTGGGCGTCAGGGCAGGGCTGTTAGCTCCATGGTACCGATGGGAATGGAGGCCCAGGGAGACTGCCTGACCTGTCCAAGGTGACACAGGAAGCCTGTCTCTGAGACAGAGATCGAACGTCAGGGTCCTGAGTTCAGAGATCTATCCACTAGGCCGTCCTTCCTACTGGACCAGTCCATACCTGGGTGTCAGTGACAAGGGTCTGTCCATCACCACCTGCTGAGCGATCGACCCCTTTGTTATGTTGGGAACTTCCTTTCTCCTGCTAGTATTGAAAACAAATTCTCGGCCTGATTCCTGGTCACGAGTGCTTAGGCCAGGCCTGTGGGCCTTTTCCACGTCTTCATAATCATCTAGTTTGTGCGCCTGTATAATACAGGCCATAGAACTTGCCTGAATTAATTCCTGTTTCACATCCACTAGCTGTGGTTGAACTAGAGCAGATCTATTAGAAAAACATCCGATCCCTTGATTTAAAAATGGCCAGTGATGGAGAATCGCCTGGGGAGCTGTTCCAAGGGTTAATTATCCTCGCGGTTCAAAATTTATCTAGCTTCAGCTTCCGGACACTGACTCATGTGAGACCTTTATCTGCTAGATCAGTGGTTTCCAAGCCTTTTATTAAGGCGACCCATCAACAGTATTTTGTCTCTTTTGAGGAACCCACCATTAACCCTGCTCCCCCTTCCTCTTCTCAGCCCTCCAGACCACTGTTCCCATCTCCCTGCGTCCTCTTCCCCAGTCCACGTGAGCACCCAAGCTCCCTGCTCAGCTTATGATCTTGTCAAAAAAAGATATGCTGTTAGTTTGACAAGAACTCTTTTCCACAGACTCATGATGACTTGTCAGATACCTGATGAAACTCCGCGGCTGGACACTCAGCAGGCTGCAGTGTTTGGGACCCATCACAATGGACTTGTGTGCTCTCAGCTTCCAGGGCCCAGGCCCTGCCTCTGCCTGTGTGTCTCCAGGCACACTCTCAGGTGCAGATCTTCCTTCCAGCACCCCCTTCTGAGTACTGAGACCTTGCAGTCCAACTGCGTAGCCTTTGAGATTAGCACCATCTCCCAGCTACGTGCACATTTCCTTTTCCAGAGCTCCAGCCCTGTGGCACTCTGGGTCACAGTTCACCGCCTCAGGGACATGTGGTAGCTGAAGCGAACAGACAACGGCTTTACAAATATTTCCAACGCAATCACCCTTTTCTTTCCCTTGCAGAAGAGATATACAGATCCAGAGCATGACACACCTACACACCCTTCCTTGTCTCAATTTCCTCACCATTCCTGAGTGGTTCGGGGGATTTGGTGAGAGTCGTCTAGTGGGTCCAGGGTCCCCCTCACAGCTCCTGGCTTCTTTTCCAGTCTTAGAGTTTCGCTCTGACCCCTGCAGTCAGCAACCTTCCACTCTCCCAAATAGCCAGGGCCGGCTCCAGGCAGCAACAAAGGAAGCAGGTGCTTGGGGCGGCCAATGGAAAGGGGCGGCACATCCGGGTCTTCGGCGGCAATTCGGCTGCGGGTCCCTCTCTCCCTCTCGGAGGGAAGGACCCGCCGCCGAATTGCCACCGAAGAATGAAGCGGCGCGGTAGAGCTGCCGCCGAAGTGCCGCCGATCACGGTCTGCAAATAGCCCTCCCTTTTGTAACATCCAGATCCCAATCAAAGGGGATCGAAGTCCCACACCAGGTGACCTGTTGCCGGGTTACTAGCTCACTTGGCAGAACCAGTTTTCTTGGTTTGGTCACAGCCATTGTAATGTTCAGTTAGAGCTTTTCAAATGTCTATGAGTCTTGATAGTCCACACTCATTAGTCCATTGATCACCTATTCCCCACTTCCAGTGAGGGAGTTGGGGAAGAAGTTAACCCCTTGCACTAACAGGCAGCACAAGATTAAACAGGTAAATGGAGTCACACATACTATTTCATTAAAATAATGCAGAAATCTCCCATATTCTCCACAATTATACCACTCTCCTTTAATTCTTTATTACCCAACTCCTTTATCAGATGTTCCATTATTTTGTTCAGGATCTATGTCAGGCTGGCAGCCTATGACTACCTGCGTCATTTCATTTACCCTTTTTAAATATTTCCACAACATTAGCTTTCTTCTAGTCTTCTGGAACGTCCCTCGTGCTCCGAGACTTATGAAAAAGCAACATGAATGGTCCAGAGAGCTCCTCAGCCAACTCTTGAAAAAACTCTTGGATGCAAGTTATCTGAATCTGCTGATTTTAAAATGTCTAATGTTAGTAGCTTCTGCTTAACATCCTTCTTGCTTACGATTGGAATGGAAAGTATTTAATCATCATATGGTATGATTACATCATCTGACCTTTTCCCAAATGCAGAGCAAAAATATGTATTGAACACTTCAGCCTTTTCTGCATTATTATTGACAGTTCTACCATTTCCAACTAGTAATGGACCAATACCACCGTTAGGATTCTTTTTGTTCCTAATATACTTAAAACCTTCTTATTGTCCTTAACCCTGCTGGCCATGGATTTTTACTTGTGTCCTTTAGCTTCCCTTAAAGATTTTCTACCATTTCTAGCTTCTAATTTATATTCTTTCCTATCAACGGTCCCTTTTTCCATTTGTTATATGTTGTTTCTATATTTTCTGCAGCTGCTTTCACTTCTCCTCTAAGCTAGGCTGCTTTTTTAATCAGTGTGACCTTCTTTCTTAACTGTGGGATTGTGGCTTTTTGGGCATCTCGTAAAATGTCCTTTAAAAGTTCCCAAGCATCAGTCATATTTTTCTGTTTAAATTCTCTCTCCCAAGTGATTTGACCCATAATAGTTTTCAGCTTTGTGAAAGGGCTCCTTTAAAGCTCCCAAATATATACATTACTGATTTGGACTTTATTCTGTTTGTGCATCACAAATGTAATTAAGTCGTGATTATTTGCATCTACGCAACCACTAACTTTTAGTTTTGTGATCAGTTCCTCTTTATCTGTCAAGACACAGACTAATTTAGAATTCCTCAGTGTTGGATGGAACCCATTTTGAGTTAAGGTTTAGCAGTTCCAAGGATGTTTTCTTCCAGCACAGCCACCAACTTGCACTTCATACACAGACTTCAGGCAGGAAAGAGAACATGGCACATCTGATGCAGCTCACCTCCACTGATCCTTCGCTGGCCATCTTGATACCACATGTAGAGTTGGACCTAGAAGAAAGACCTTTCCCTCTCCAACCTCCCTTTGAAACGCTCCTGTTAGCTGCTTCTGTTCCTGGCTCTCGAGTTCTCCTAGCAAGTGACTTTGTGTCTCAAATCTCTCTGCTTATCTCAGCTCAGCTCTACCCTCACCAGGAGGGAGCACTGGCGCACTGAAAAGAAAGGCCCACCGTTACAATGCTACATACAGCACAGCTTAACCTGAGGCTTGCGTTAAATATCGGCACTGGTTTGAACCCCACACAATCCAAACCTGAAGAAGGACTTGCCCCAGGCCCTGTGGTCCAGACCCATCCGCCATCCTGATGGAGCACAAAGGGGAGCAGCACGCAGGGCCCCTGCTGAGCAAGCCGGCTGCTCCCACCCAAGCTGGCCCAGAATCTGCATCCACCTGATTTATTTGTTCCTGTAACCATGCTTTGCCTTCCCATCCTCTCCCATGGCTCTGGCTGCACCACAGCCAGGCTGTGTGACTGCAGCCCTCATGGAAATGAGCGTCACCTCCCCGCAGGGGGGCAGCTAGCCTCACTCCGGGGGGTACCAAAGCACAGGCCAGTGGGGGCGTGGGGGTGGCTCACCAGCGTGAGGTTGGAGCGCAGCCAGGAATCAGTCAGGTCACGCCCATTCCATGGCACTGTGCTCCCTGCATGTGCCCCCCTCCCCCCGAGTGTTGTGGGAGCAGCTGCTGTAAAGCCGGGTGCCAGAAGTGCACACACAGAACAGGCAGCAGCCTCAGGCTCTGGCCCCAAGGGAGACCTGTACAAGCTCAGGTTTCAGAGTAGCCGCCGTGTTCGTCTGTATCCGCAAAAAGAACAGGAGTCCTTGTGGCACCTTAGAGACTAACACATTTATTGGAGCATAAGCTTTCGTGGACCACCGCCCACTTCATGGGATGCATAGACTGGAACATACAAGCTTAGGGAGCCAGGCACCTCCTCCGCCAGCGCGTACAGGCACGCTCCGCCAGTCCTGTCACACACAAGACGTTTCAGAGCAGGGTGCTAGAGAGACACGGTCAGGGTCTCACTCACAGCTGCCCGCCCCCACTCG